CGGGAAGCCGGAGGAGACCGCCGAGCCACGGGCCGGCCGGGTTGGTGGGTCTTCCGTGGCGGTTGGGCCGGGCTGGTGGGGGAGGGGCGGCCACGGCCTCCGCCGCCGCCGCGTCCTCACCAACCCGGCCGGCCCGTGGCTCGGCGGTCTCCTCCGGCTTCCCGCGAACCCCTCAGGCCGCGCCGCAGGCGCAGAGACCAAGGCGGAGGAGCTGCCGGTGTCGGAGTCAGCGAGAGGGCACCGGCGAGGGTAGGCCGCGAATCCCCGGGCTCGGGTGGAAGCCCGGCCCGTCGCCCGGCCTGTCGCCCGGCCTCCCGGAGACGGCGGCTCGGACCGGAAGGGCCTAGCGTGCGTCGCTCGGCCGGGGTCCGTGGAGGGTCCGCGCTGCACTCTCGGGTTGTTTTTTTTTTCTCCCCGTCCTGGAACTCGATCCCGGCCTCGCAGTGCTTCCGGCTTCAGCTTCTGTACCTTTGGCACTTGGGTTTTGTAATGGTGGCGAGGTTTGTGTGGCCCCGATGTTGAGGTGACACCGGGTTTGTTTTTCCGCCTGAAAATGAAAGCCTTCGGAGGGGCATACGTTCTCTTCCAGATTGTGGGATTTGCACACTTTGGTACACTACTTCCTTGGTAACAGGAATCTTTTACCCTAAATGGATGACTTTCTGCCGCTCATAAAGACTTAAAAACGGAGGATCGTGTGAGGATTCTCTAAAGAGACAGCGTTCCAGAAAACTGAAATAGTTTTGCCCGGCCGTATTTTTTCAGACTTGGGCAATTTTTTTTTTTTTTTAACACATTTCTGTGGAGGGCTGTAGCTGCTACTGTATCCAATACCTCCCGAGAGCTTCCACTCCAGAGCCTGGCTTCACTTCTTTCCCTCCGCCCTCACAAGACTATTGTTTTAAAAAGCTATTCTTAAACTCCATTTGCTGGTGTTGGTCGGAGTCTACCTAGAGATATGAACGTACGACTCTTCGCAAACTTAACGGTTGGTAGGGATTTCGGTTGAAACTGTCACTTTTGTGAGCAGAATGATTCCAAGAGATTTGCTCTTTTGACACATTTTACCTTAGCTCTGCTATGGCTTTTTTTTTTTTTTTTTTTTAACTCTTTGCCCGAAGCTTTGCAACTTGGTCCAGTCATGTCTGTATCTTACTTTTAGATTTAGTCGCAACACAGAAGGATTCTGTTGGGGTGTTGATGGTTTCTGCACCGAAAGAGAAGTACTTACGCTACCTTTCTAAACAAACTCTTAACTTACAACAGTAAGTTGTCCCTACACGGCTTTATCCTTTCATGGGTTCCTTGCTTTTAGGTTAACATTACCTTGATTAGGTTTGTTTTGATTTACTGCACAATCCTCAGTCCAGTGACAAACCTCATGTTATATAGGCTTTGGGTGTGAGACTCAGAAAACCTCAAACAACTCTGTATCATGATCCAATAAACACTTATTGAACGGTTGTACAAAATAACATGCTATCCCTTGATCCGACTAAATGCCTGCTTACAGTTTTTACTTGGTTGTGTGGCGAAGTTCAGAGGCTTTAAGGATGACATCCTTCCACTTTTTTTGGGAAAACATTTTTCGTATTGTGTGGCAAAATGGACTCAGAAGTGCATCTTTGGTGGACCTAAGTGGGAAAGAATCAAGAATGTTTATTGTTTTACACAAGGTCTTGAGAGTTTTTATTTTCACTTCTTTTCTGTTGTTACTGCTTTGGATTTCTAAGTGACTGAGTTCCAAAGGGGGGTGGGTGGGTGGGTGTGTGTGTGTGTGTGTGTGTGTGTGTGTGTGTGTGTGTGTATTAACCTGCATGGAGTATATGGAGAATTATAAAATGTTTTCTGTTATAACGTAAGAGCTAGAGGGGATCTTCGTCGGCACCCTGGACAATGTCACTTGTCTTTCAGGTGCAGAAACTGAAGCCTAGAGCGTGAAGTGACAGGAAACCCTGTTGAGGTAGCATGTATACGCTGCCAGTCAGTCATGATACTCCTGGATAGACCAGAGCAGTACAGCGTAGGGGTAAAGAACTCGGATTTCAGAATCAGACCTACCTGGGCTTGTACACTCGTTGAACCTTGGGCAAGTGACTCCATGTCTCTAAGCTTGGGTTTTCCCATCTTTGCAGTCAAATGCTCTGCCCCCGAGCTCTACCCCCAAGGTTTTCCCATCTTTGAAATCAGGATCCTGACGGTAGCGACCTCATAGGGCTTTTGGGAGGATTGAATGAAAATTATGTGTGAAGAGCCCTTGGCACAGAGCGTGGCCTCTGTAAATGCTTCTCTCTCTCTGGGGTTATTAGGGAAAAGTTAAAAGAGGTAGGATTGTAAGTCAAGCTTGAAAAGATGAGGTGGGCTTGAGGGGGTGACATGACCAAGTGTCCCTTTTAGACTTTAGGTAGTTTGAAATGGTTCTTTGACACGGGAAGAAATTGAGGCACAAAATGTGAATTTAGTTTGATTGAAGAAACAGTTGGAGCCTGATGTTCTGTGTTTGTCTTGTACTCAGTCTTTAATCAGGCACAGCTGGGAGACCTGGCTTTTTTCCTGTGGCACATAGGATTGTATTTCAGGTGAAAATGGCTGTAATCACCTGAGTATCTGTGCGCTAGGTGTTTGCTATTGGGGCCAGGTGTTGAGGACGCTGCAAATTAGATCCAGTTAAAGTCTTCAAGGAACTTCTCTAATGAGAGAGACAGGCAAGTACTTAACAATGATAGAAGTGCTGTTCTTTGAAAATTTTTTTTTAATTTTTTTCAACGTTTTTTTATTTATTTTTGGGACAGAGAGAGAGCATGAACGGGGGAGGGGCAGAGAGAGAGAGGGAGACACAGAATCGGAAACAGGCTCCAGGCTCTGAGCCATCAGCCCAGAGCCCGACGCGGGGCTCGAACTCACGGAGCGCAAGATCGTGACCTGGCTGAAGTCGGACGCTTAACCGACTGCGCCACCCAGGCGCCCCAGAAGTGCTGTTCTTTGAACATATGCGTATTTTGTACCAGACACAGGCACGCTAGGGGTGGGTGGTATACAAAACACGCAAAATTTTGGCCTTATGGGCACCCCTCCTAGTGAGGGGTGCTAATGAATAATATAGAATGTTCAAAGGTAAGTGCTTTGAAAAATGGAGCAGGGTAAGGAGGATCCAGAATTTCGGGGGAAGATGTTATAGTTTAAAATGAGGTAGACTGGGTGAACCTTCTTGAGAATGATATTTAGGCAAAGATTTAAAGGGACAGGGATTAGCTGTGTTAATATCTGGGGTGAAAGCATTCCAAGCAGAGGAAATAGTTCCAAGGTGCTGAGGCAGACCTAGTGAGTTCTGCCTGGTGTGGCTAGAATGGAGTGGACAAAAAGAGTGATATAACTTGGGTTAGGGTGGGGCGTAGATCTCACCGTGCTTCGTAGAGCCTTTATGAGGACTTGGCCCAGAGTTTTCAATAGAGGAATGACATAGTCTGTTTTCAGCTTCAGGCAGGGGGGGAACAGCAAAGCAAGGAGACTTGAAGGTAGCAATCTGGGAGAAAGATGCTGGTGACTTGTAAAGTGGTACTAGGACATGGTGAGAAATGACTGGATTCAGGATACACATTGAAGATCAAACCAATATGGTTTGTTAATAGATCAGATGTGGCAGATGAGAGAGGAGCCAAGGATGATTCCCAGGATTTTGGTCTGAGCAGTTAGAAAGATGGGATTTGCGATCAACCAAGGTATATATGACTTCGTGACCAGAGCAAGTTTGGGAAATAGATTAGGAATTCAGTTTTAGACATGGTAACTTTGGGATGCCTGTTAAACATTTGGGTTGAGTTGATATCCAGGTCAGACCCTGGAGACTAGACATGTATTTTGTGGTCATTAACTTAGTATTCAGAACCACAGCATTGGAAGAGATCACCAAGGGGGCCAGTGTAGAAGGAGACAAGAACCTGGGAGTGATCCCTTTAAATTGCAGTATTAAGAAGCTTTTGTTATATAGTGTGCCTTACATGGAAGGCATCCATAAACTTAGGGAGGGAAATTACCTCTTTACTACCTCTAACTAGGAGTTAGCACTTTGTTAAATTACCGATGTAAACAGCAAACTACAGTACTATTAGCAGTACTTGTGATTTTACTACTAGACAGGTCACAGATATTTTAATAATGTGCTGTGGTTATTGTTGATGTCTCAAAATACTGTTGATGTTTATCATTACATCCAAGTTATAGTAGAGATCTACCACTACTACATTGTTAAGAAGTATATATATTACTGTATCACACATTGGGGGTTTTTGTTCTCCATGTAATTGGTTTCATTTATAATATATATTTTATTTTATGCATTTAAAAATATTAAACTGAGAAGAAATCTACAGGCTTCATCAGACTGCTAAAATGGTCCAAAGAACAAAAAAAGTTAAACTTGGGGCTCTGGAGCCAATGGTTCCTGGTTTTAGAATTTCACCTCTTAATAGCTTTATGAACCTGAGCAAGTTTCATAATTACTCTCTGCTTTGGAGTCATTTTTTACAAAGTGGGGATCATAGTAGTATTTTCTGTGAAAGGTTTTATGAGGACTTAAAGATAAGGACAGTGTTAGATCTTTTATGATTAGCATTGAATGCATCTAGGAAGAAGAGTACAAGGCACCACGATAGGAAAAGCATGGTGAATTTAGCCAAAGTTTATTAACTGGGAAAAAATATTTCTACGTGTTCTAATAAAATACAAAGCAGTGAGATTATGCAAATGCTCATAAAATCCTTGTAATTCACCCTAGAGTGGGAATAGAGATACCTCAGGAAGCTGTGTAAGAGAAATATTTCTGGGAAGATTTCCTGGTTAGAAAGCCTGATGAACTATCCTAGTGCTTAGAACAGAGTATATACCTCTCCAGTATTCATGTTCCTCTTTGCTCTTTTTAAGATTTCAGGCGGACCATTCTTCTGACACATTATGTCTTTAGAAAGGTATCAAGCAACTGTTGATACAGTTGTGTTTTGCTAAGAAATGTTCAAACTGCCAAGACCTCCTTCATACATATAACATTATCAGCCAATCATACTTTTGTAGTTTCCTCAGTGGGAGTTTGATATACCCAAATCTTTTTTGCCATTTTTTTTATTGTCCTAATTGATTCCCTTTTAAAAATAGAAATGTATTATAATTTAGTCTTTAACAGATACGTATAATTTCTCTTGACTTGATAATCTGTGTTTTTCTGTGAGTGTTGTCAGTTTTTGAAGAGAAGCTAGAATAGTCATATGCTGGATGACAAAGGATGACTAGCCGGGGTTACAGAATCAAAAGTTGACGTTCATTTCTGTTAATTCTTCCAGGGTACTGTAGAGTACTTTATTTTGTAATGCACTAAGAGCTATTATTATAAGGCCCTGTGAGACCATTCGTATTAGAAACTGAACCATTACATCTGGAGGCACCAAACATCACGTTTAGAATCCTTCCTTTCTATTTGAGAGAAATCTACTCTGGAGTGGGGGAGGCATTTTATTCTGAAAAAATTTCAAACTTACAGAGAAGTTGTAAGAATAGTATAATGAATTTCCATATGCTGTTCATCCACATTAACCGGTAATTGAAAGTTTGTCCTATTGATGTATCTTTCTATATAAAAAAATAAATATACACGTGTTTATTTTTGTCTGAATCAAGTTGGAAACATCAAGACCTTTCACCCCTAAATATCTTCATTACCTTAGAAGCTTTCTCTCAGATAACCAATGTACAGTAATCAAATTCAGGCAATTTAATATTTGTACCTATACTGTTAACTGATAAAATGTTTGTATTTAAATTTTGTCAGTTGTCTCAATAGTGTCCTCTCTTTTCAGTGTAGGATTACAAATTTCTTTTAATTGTGATGCCTCTCAGTCTTTAATCTCTGAGGAGAGAGCTTGAAATTCAAGCTTTGGAGGTACTCTATTATTGTCTTTGTACTTACCACAATTGTGATATTTCAAGAACAATAACAGTGTCTGGTAGTATGTTTTAAATAGTTTATTTATTTATTTATTTTTAACTACCAAAACAATGGATGCTTATTGCAAAAGGGTAAGATAATGCAGATGTTTATAGAAGAAAAAGTAAAAACCCACCCTTAGCATTTCGTCCCTGCTCCATCTCTCCAAATTCCACGTCCAGGAGGGTAACCAGTACTAACAATGTAGGGTATACCTTTCCAGACCTTTTCCTTTTGTTTTTTTGTTGTTACTTAAGTGGAGTCCTACTACATATATCATTCTGTCTTTTT